AGGATTTATGGTTGTACAACGAATATAAACCTATTTGAAAGTGGTTCTTAAGAGTAATGTATAACAATCATTGAGGAGATCATTTTTGGTCACAGTTATGTGAGTATCAAAGCCACAGCATCTCTTTGAATTTCAGAAAGGCCATTATGCCATTTTTAAAATTAAATCTCAACTCAAAATTCGTATCATAAATAATTTTATAAAAATACTAATGTCGAATATAAATGTGTTGCTCAATCTCACATCATGCCCAACAAATCATGAGAAAATTGTCCTATTTTCTTCCATCTCATCTTTGCATGTGGACACACATACAGCATTATTCATAATTATAGAATGTCTGTTCCACATCCATATTTCAATATATCCTTTTTCAGTTAATATGATTTCATAAGCATGTTTATAGCATTACATAATTATATGATTATCATTTTAAAATATGGATGATATTTTTCTCCATTTGCCTCAGTCCTATGCAGCCACCCACCCACTCACCTTCAGTGGAGTTGTGGAATTTTATCAGTTTTGGATGGTGTCTAAAAACATGTATTTTTAAGATAGAATCATTACAGTGTGGCATTTTCTAGCTGAAGAAGAGCTTGAAATTCATACAATTAAATAATTCTCTCTCTTTAAGTACAAAGACACAAAAACTGAGGGGTTGTGGGAGGCAGAGTAGCCTGGTGAGAAGAATGGCAGAGTCCCAGCTGAAGTCCTTCTGCTGTGATGGGAATCGTATGCAGTGAGACCATTCTTCATTCCTCAGTGCCTTGGTCTTCTCTAGACTTTCTCACTTAGATTAAATTTTGGAAATGCCATGTTTATCTAAGACACTCTACCCAGATCGAACTAGTCAATGTCATTTCCAAACCAATCCATGCAACATAGAATCAGAATAAATCATAGAATATGCTTTCCATAATTTTGAGCACATCATGTATGTTTGACACATGTTATCTCCTGCTATGATTATGGTTATCATGATGATGTTTTGTACCAACTTTCTTCATGGTGTGGGACAGGCATGTCCTGAAGCTGTCTCTCAGTTCATTGTCAAGCGTTTATAGGATTTCCTCACCCGTCTCTTGGAACTTTTTTTTCTGTGACAGTTAAGAATCATTGCAGTGCTCTCACCCAAATGCAGAAAGGGCAGAGGAGGTTAAGTTTGCTTGTTTGTTTTTTCCTGCCAGGACAGCTGTTTATCAGAAGGAAACAGACCATCAGAACTGGAGGAGGACCCAGACCCACTCAGTCTTCTCCACCCCCTTCTTCCCGGGGCATGATATCTATTGATAGAATGATCTCATGTGATTCTCTAAGTGACTCAACAAGTGGCACTTCCAATTAGACTGATATTTGTCATAACTGTTTGATTAGCTCTTGGTAATCACAGAGTAAATTACTGCTATTACTCTCCAGCTTTCCAATGAATCAGTTCACAGGAGCAACCATAAAGAAGAGGGAATTATTGATGAGACATGGTGCTTATCAAGTAACTGATTTCCATAGAGTCACCAGGTCCTAAAGAATGTTACCACAGTATCAGTTACTCTGGTTTGTAACTCATTCTTAGGCTTCCAGATACTCATTAAACTTCCTCAGTTAGGTGTAAAAATGACCGGATTTGGGGAACTCTGCTATGTTGCTTCCAAATGATATATTCTGGGAGTGGCAACATGATGACTACAAATAGCAATACTGTATTTTATATTTGAAAGTTTCATAGAAAATAAATTTTAAAAGTTCTCACAGCAAGGAAAGAAATTGTAGCAGTGTGAGGTGATAAATATTAACTAAAGTTATCCTGGTAATCGTGTATATTGTGGCAGGATATATGTATGCCAAATCATTATAGTGTATACCTTAAACTTTTAAAATGTTATTTGTCAATTATATCTCAATGAAAATGAGAAAGAGAAAAAATTATTTTGAACTTAAATTGGTTTTGTGTCACAGTGCTGCCTAGGTTGTCATCTCAGTTTCATCACTCCTAACTGCGTATCCCTGTACAAATACTTAATCTCTGTATCTATTTTTCCACTTTTAGATGGAGATGATTATAGTCACAAGCACAGTAGTACCCAATGTATAATAAGTACTCAAACCTGTTAGCTATTATTGTCATTATTAATTTTACTATTAGAATATGACATATTTTCCTGGGTCCATAAATAAAGCAAATGTAAATTGAATTGCCTACTTTAAGGGTTTATAATTGTTATTATGGTGGGAAATGGTCTACTTCAGAACCAAAAGATCCAACTTTACTACTGAGTTCACCAAAAATTAACATTATGAATTAAGATCTCTAAAAATCACTGAAGCTATGCTTTGTATATAAATTATAATATATTTTGTATCAGGATTGACATAAGGTTCAACTATTTTGTATATTCAAGTTGTCATGTCTTATTTAGTAACTTTTGATATCCAAATGACATTTTTACTGATTGTCCTATTTCATTTAACTCAACTCCTTTGGGAAAGTGACTGAGATATTATTATGCTAGTTTTATAGCCAAGGCGCTGATACTCAGTTAGAATGAAGTTACATAACATGGTGGAACAGGAACTGGGAACTAGGTTTTCTCATGTCAAAGGAATAAACTCCTTTGACAAAATCTATTTAATCCCCTACCATGTACCAGACATATTGCAAAGCATTAGAAGCAGAGCAGTGTACAAAATCAATGAAAAGTCCTGCCCCTCATGGAGTTTATTCACTTGACATGAAAAGAACAATTTTTAAAAAAATCTGTAAGTGAAAGACATAGCATGCTAAGTGGAATAAATGCTTTAAAGAAAAATTAAGAAGACAATAGAGATAGGCAGTGCCAGGTGCAGCCCATTTCTAAATAGAGCAGACAGGGAAACCTGCATTGAGAAAAGAATTAATTTCAGTAAAAACCCAGTGGAGGTGTGCAGTAGGTTTACCTGGATCAGCGGAAGAGCACTGCAGGGAGAGGAAGCAGCAGAAGCAAAGCAAAGCCTAGAGGGTGAAACGTGCTGGGATTTTTGAGCAAGAGCCAAGAGGCCACTGTGGTATGAGAAGAATGAATAAGGAAGTGTGTTCTGAGAGCTGATGAAGGACCACATTATGTTGTGTTTTGCCCACCCTCCGGCAATTCTGGTTTTTATTAAAATGAAGTGGAAGCTGCTTTGAGGTTTTGAGCAGAGAAGAAACAGAATATGAGTCAGCTTTTAATAGAATCATTCTGGCTACTTTTTTGAGAATAGAAAAAACTAAGGGATAGAGTAAAATAGGACTCAACTGCAATAAAACTGAACAGAATTTATAGTGACTTGGACTAGCATTTCAGAAATGCAGATGGAGAAAAGTGATCATATTTTAGACAGTTTTTGATATATTTTGAAGTTAGCATCAATGGGATTTGTTAACACACTTGATATGGGCGATAGGAGAAAGAGTGGAGTCAAGGAGACTAGGTTTTTTAGAATGAGAAAATAGTAGGATGAAGTTGCCCTTAGCTGAAAAGAAATTGTAAGCACAGCATACTGGTAGTGACAGGGAGCTGAGTTTGGGATGCTCATTTTAAATTGCCTGTTAGCATTCTAAGTGGGTCTGTCAAGTAAATGGTTATAAGTATGGCACTTGGGCAAAGGACTAAAAGAGAAATCTGGCAACCCAGTGTAAAGATGATACTTAAAATCATAAACCTGGATTAGATCTTAAAGCAAGTTAGTCTAATAGAAAATAGGAGAGTGTGAACCATGGTGAATTGTATAATTACAAGGCTGAGAAAATGAGGAGAAAACTTCAGATGAGGCTAAGAAAGTATAACCAAATGGAGAAGGAAAACTGAAGAGAGTGATGCTCTGGAAACCAAGAAGAAAAGTGTTTTAATTGAGAAGAAATATTATACCAGTGCAGTGTAGAGCCTAGACAACAGCAAAACTACAGATATAATTTATACTAAGATAGAGTAAGGAGCAGTTACCCATTATATTTAAATGTCCATTATGTGCACAGGGTAAATGGTAATTAGGGTGAAAAAAATGTGACAGATAAAACATTCTCCCTGCCTTTAAATTTTAAGAGCAGAGAGGTAGAATTAGGAACATCTCATAATAAATGATACTTGACACTCTGGGAATATAGATGAGGTAGGGATTAATTTTGATATGCAGCTTAGCAGGGAGAAGGTCGTATTTGAGCTGGGTATTAAAGAAAAACTATGAGTTTGTTGGGTGGGAAATGGGAATTGACAAAAAAGTAATAACATTTTAGATAAGATAACATGAGCAATGCCACAGAGGCACAAAAATGCAATGTATGTTCAGGAATAAGGAATAAATTCATTTCAATAAAGTAGGGTGTGCAAAGAAAGATGGGGGTAAAATAGCAATAGTTACACTTTTTTTCCTTTATGGAAATATCTTGGTCAACAGTCTAGCTGTTGAAAAAAAATTGATAAAATGAGATATTTATCCAGAACCAAATATTGTGTTAACTTTCATTTTTAAAAGTCCCTTTATATTCTGGGAAAAACCTGTCAACTTTAAAAATAAAATGGCCACTTATTTTACTAGCAAAATGAGTTTATTCAGGAATAGCAAAGGAATTCCAACTTTGGACAAAAAAACTGGTCAACCATTGGCAAATCTGAAGACACAAAGGGAAAGTCAGCTTCTATTAGGTTTTTGAGGGAACTGGGTGTTGTTTTAAATAAAAGTTAGCGTAGAAAAACAAGATTTTGAGGTTGTGGCTGCTTCTCATTGGCTGCTTAACATTGGTTAGTGTGTTGAGAGCTCCCCCTTCAGGGCTTCTTGAATCCACTTTAAATGAGGTTTCTTTTGTTTTCACAAACCTTAAGCACAGCATATTGTACAATAAATAATGCACTTGGAAAATACATAGAAATATAAATTGTTCCCTGTAGGCTACTCGCTAGGTAGAATTGAATTTAAACTAATTTTTCTTGGTGTATTTTCTAACTTCTGTGGTGTAATGTTGTGTTTTAATTTTATTTCTTCTCTAGAAATGGTTCTCTGTATTGTGGAGCTGCAAGATCCCACAGTAAGAGTAGGGCCAAATAAGCTGGAACAGCTGACAGACTGAATGCATGTGAGTACAACAGTAATAGCTTTTAACAAATGAGAAAGAAAAATTGTCTTGTATGTGACTTAAGGTGGCTGCGGTAGACTGTGAGTTAATATGATTAATTGCTGGATCCTTGGCATGGGCGAGCTCTCACTGGTGAAAGCCGGGCTTGTGTGTGCACCTGGGACAGATCTTGATTTCTCCTGTAGGCATACACATTACCTTTTATCCTGGACCCACCTTTTCTCTTATGACTGCTGTGCTTCTAGTAAGACTGAAAGCCTGCTTTATGATAACAGACATTTATTCCACTCCCTGACTCCTACTGACCCCATTATTTACCCTCCTTTTATTCTGGTCTATCACATACTATTATTTGGCTTGTTTGTCTCCCTGAATCACAAGTCAGCCAATGGTTTTAGATTCTAACTTTCCTGTTCTCTATCAAATTTACCCCTTGCTATCTTCACCTAGCCAATTGCTAAGTTAAAATTTCCTTGTGTAATTATTTGATTATTTTAAGTATCTTTCATTTGATCATATGCCCCATACAGGCAAGGGTCATATGCCTGTTTGCTGATATATCCTAGACTTCAACGTTTCCATGCTGCCTGACTCTGCCTGAGTGCAATTTGGCCACTTAAAATGTTCCAGCCCTTTTGTGGTTGTTCAAAAATCTCTATTCTTCTTGAACTCAAATCTTCCCCAGATGTTTTCAGTTCCAGCTAAAACAGCCTCCTGCTTTCTAAAAAAGATGAGGCTATCTGATGTGAACATCAATGAATTTTCCTTCTTTGGACCTTAAAATATCCTGTATCTAACTGTAGTCTATTTCTCATTTCCCAAAATAACCCCTTATATTAGATTTTGATCCTAATGCTTTACAATTTCTTTATCAACTTTATAAAATCAGTTATTTCTTCCTGATTTGCATTTCTCCATTTTCTTAATTCCCTCCACACAAGTGAAAACCAAACATGCTTTAATTTCCCTTATCTAGGAAAAATTCAGCCAGTTAAAATTAACACAAAATAAGCCACCTTCAACTCACTAGTCCCAATTTCTTTCCCAACTTAATTTCCTTTTGTCTATTCAAAATTCTGTATATAGAACTGTCAATGTTCTTTGCCAATTCATGGTAAATTCCACAAGTGAAGGAGCTATTTTTATGTTGTGCAGTGTATTGCTAATACCTAGTACAGTATCTAAAATGGTAGGGGCTCAATAATTAAGTGAGTTAAATTTAGCTACCCTTTCACATCCCACTTTCTACCTGAGTGTTAAGATTTTGCTTCAAGCACTGCTTAAATTACTCTCACCAAGATAGCTAACTGCAATAGCTCTCTTCTCTGTTAATTCAATCCATATCCACATTTTTAATATTCTTTTACATGCCATATCATAATCTGTTTTAATTACTGCTAATGGCATATATGCCTGATAACTTCATCAGAGTGTCAGCCTCTAGAGTTTAGAACAATTAATTTGGTTATTTTGTTATCCCCACAACTCTTAGCAAGGACTTACTTAGTAATTATTAATGAAATAAATTAATACCTTTATGCTGGAGGATCCTCTAACATTGCTCTGACTACATTAGTAATACCTTTTTTAAAATATCTTGTCCCTGAAATAAAAACATGAAAATAAAATGAGATAGCCTTTAATAAATCATTTCAAATCATGAAAAGTAAGAATTAAAAAAAAATCTATGTTGGATGAATCATGATATGTGTGCTTTATATTTATATCCCTTTCTTTAAATAATTAGAAATATTGTTCATTTGCAAACTCCCAGGAGCTTCCCAGTAATCTGAAACTGCCCCCATATGTAGAGGGGAGGGAGAGACCCAAGAAAGAGGCAGGCCAATCCAGATTGGTAGGTAGCAGGTTTTAAAAAAGGTCTTACCTTGGACTGCTGAAAGATAAGTATCTGCTTCCATCTGCCAGAATCTTAAAAGTTTATATAGAGGCTGTTGGGAGGGAATAATTTTCTTCTACCCTTCAAGTTTCTTCTAGCTGGTCTAAGAATCAATTGACATGAGACAGATTAATAGAAAAAAACAAAATTTAATTATGTTTGTATCAGGAATCTCAGATATGCACTTCCAAAGGCAGTCAGGGACAATGAGGTATATATATATGTCGTCCTGCACTAAGGAGAAGGGGGAGGGGGCTGGGATCTGAAAGGGAAGGAAAGCAACCTGCAGAATAAGAGAGAGCACATGTTTGGTAGACACATATTTGCTGGGCCACACAGAAACAATGAGACGAGAAGAGGGATTATAATAGACTTTGCCACATCCCTCCCTGTCTACCACACATAGTACATATTGTAATATAGTTATCTATGGTGAAAGCTCTTTTCTTGGAGCAGATTCTCCATCTAAATTCTTTTTATACAGTTAACTTGGGAGGAAGGGGGTCAAAGTTTCCTTCTGAGTCTTTTTGGGCCTTGAGTGTTTTAGGTGCACGTAATCTGCATGCCAGAGTAACACATCTTGGACAGTCTGCCCTCGGCCATTAACTGTGGTCAGTCACTTACACTGTCCAAATGGGCTCAGCAGATACTATCTCAAGACTGTGTCCTTGGGCAGCCTCTGGGAGTGGGAGGACAAGCACAGTCCATATTCCAAGAAGAGGGGAGGGTTGAGGAACTTCCAGCTGTGAGCCAACTCACCTGTCAACCAGGGTCGTTTTTTTTGATGACTTCCCACAACAAATACCTATCCATATACCTATACATTATATGTTTATTATACATGCATATATACATACACACATTAAAACATGGTCATAAACACTTAATAAAACAATAGCTACTGATTGAATTAACTCTAAGGTCCTTTAAACACACTCAGTAAATATACACAAGAGAAGATAGAAAATCCCATATAAACTGTTTTAGAAACCTAGCAGAGACTTAGGAATTATTCTACACTCACCTTCCCCCTGTTTCCACTTTTGGCTTTCTAAAATAGATTCTCATCTTTTACCCTTGTTTGGATATCTTCTTTCTCTAATTCTTATGGGTCAGCAGCCTGAGTTGAGTGTATGTGTCCCAGGTCTGATCTTCTGAGACTCCTTTGAGATACTGTACCCAGTGTTACCTATAGGCCTTGTGCACTGAAACCCAGGGAATAAAGTCCCCTCCACTCCCATGTAGCTTGCTCAGGCCTTTAGGAGTCTTTGCAGTCACTGGAAAAGGATCATGTACACCCTAAGTAATTTGTGGCTTGTGGACGAAGTAACATGTCATTTAACTAACTCTCCTATTTTTCCATCAGTTGTAACTTTGTATAAAGAGAAAAATTTACATGAGAAAAGTATGGTGGATTTGTTTTTTCCACCAGCAGAAACTCTTGACTATAGCCCATGTGCAGACTTAAAATTTGAATTCTATTGCTTGTATGATGCTGACTCCTATAATCACTGTTTATCACAGGGATATCTACAAAATCTAAATAATTCCCAAAGTAATAATATTTTAACAATTAGAATCAGTAACAATTCCAAGAGAGCCATAAAGTCTTATTGATAATCTCTTAATTTGAGAGAGTTCTCAGTTTCAAATGCAGTAAATGGGTTAATTCTATTATTTGTACCTCTTCTGTCATTATTTGTCATATACATTGGGCTACCCCTGCAACCATGTATATGTAGGATGTATCAGGAACACTAACCCAGAAGGACCCCAAATTTATTATTTAGGCTCCATTTAGGTGGTTAGTAGGAAAGCCTTCATGTGCTCCCTCTATGCTGCCCTCTGTCCTAGTGGCTGATCGTAAAGGCTAGATCATCAGGCTCCAGTCCCCACTTAGGCCAATGGGAGGCTCCAGCAAGAGATACTCAGAAATGAAGAGTGAGATGAGGGTATTCATTCCCCAGAACCCCTTTCTGCAAGTTCACCTCAGGCTGGCTGGATCCCTTACCCACAGGTCTATTTGTTTCAAAGCTACCTTCTATGCATAAAATAAATAGACACTGTCTACATGGACACCTTCCTCCCTTCCTCCCTTCCTCCCTCCTGACTTGGTGTTAATAACTCCTTTTTTCTTTCTAGCTCAGAGTCCATCATGCTGGGTCCTCTATACCCTGATTACCTCTATGTAAATAGCTCCTTTTAAATATACACTCCTCAAATTATCTTAATCTGAGTTTACCAACTATTTCCTAACAGAACTTTGGTATAATGTGTCTTTGAGATTCTCTAATTAGTGTTATATTGACCAGAACTTTGCAAAATGAACACTAATAGCAGTGAGCAGCAAATTAAATGTAAGTATTTAGAAAAGCTTTTAGGCATCAACTACATGGCAATACAGAAAGAGGTCTTGGAAAATATGAGAAAATATTGCATTAACAATGTTAATTGTTTATTTCTATTATCAGAAGGTGGTACCTGTGTACCGTTCTCCTTCTTTTTCTTTCCTATGTAAGGATAGCACTGAAGTTGTAATGGACATACCAGGATTTACAAATCAAACATTCACCCATTTAAGTTTTCCTGAAGAAGGTGTTAGAAATTAACTGACTGATGGTGCCAGTAATTGAGCTCTGTTAGACGTTGATAGGGGATCCATTTGGTGTGGGAGACCATACTTAACAAAAAAAGAAGTGTTGTTTATTTTGGTATTGTTGATATTCAAAAAGTCAGGCATTTTTTTTAATGATTTGCTTATTTTTGTGTGTGTTTTTAAAAAGGAGATGTCTGAAAGCAAGAGAATTGAATCTCTTCCATCTGAGAACTCAAATGTGCTTTTTTATTCAATTATACAAATTAGCTTCTGAAAATTTTGAAACATCTGTGTTAAAGGAGAGAGGTAGTTTTTTATTTTAAACTTAATACTGTATGTAATCACCCACCAAAATGTTTCCATAGCATTTGAGTGTTTGAAATTTGTTGCTGCTTTGAAATTCTAAAAGAAAATAATGGACCTATTATGGAAAAAAAAGTTTATAACTCTAATTTAGAACTATTATAGTTTTCATATATTTACCTCACTTTTTTTACATAGTTTTAA